TAATGTTAAAGTCAGCAGTGTCCAAATGTTGCGTAACTTCCCAATGATGACCATCAAAGCCAATGCTGCTATGTCCATCTTCACCAGTTTACCCGGTTTAATTGACACCCCTGATTATCCTATTTTACTAAGCTACTCGTGGCTTAACTACCCTTTATTAGCACTGCCAACCCATTGAATACATAAGTGTAAATGTATAGCAGGAGAAGAGGCAGAAGAACGTTGTTTGAATAAAGTGAACAACTGGAGGTAAGTTATTACTGACTTCAGGCTTTTAATAATAATTCATTCATTTAATTAATAACTCAGTAGTTGCTTCTATCTGAACAATGTCTTTTTCCGTAGGATAAAGGGGAACTGCCATTAGTGTTCTGGTGTGTTCAAATAAGGTTATGTGTTACTGGTGAAGACATAAATCAACATAATACACAGAATAAACCTTCACAAACATTGTGAATAGCCTAAAATAAAATCATTAACAGCCCTGTAAATCCTATAAAACAGAGATAGCAGGCTAAAAGCACATTTACATGACAGCCTAGTGTGGACAGTACACATGTAAAGTTCCACGTTAAGAGAGTCAGGATTACTTTGTGAAGGCCTCACGGCCCAGAAACGGGAGGTCTCAACGTCTGCTTCTTGTCTGTGGTTGGCCGATTTGCATCATTCAACCACTTTTTTTGGTTCGTCCGATCCCATTGGATTTGACTAAACCTACATGGAAATGACGGACAGCTTCCTTAGCCACTCACAAGCCAAAACGGTTAGAGCGGAAAGAGAGATTTATGATTCATACGCTTCGATGGCTTGGTGGTTTTTGTACTCTCAATTCGCCACGGTTTGTCTGAGAGAAAGGTTAAAGGTATCACTAGATTTGGCCCAATCTCGGCAAGCGACTTTGCCGTGGATTTTTCCGTGTTAGCTCCAAAGGATTGTTCATCTTTTGCACTGCCGAGTGCACAATCCCTGAAATATTTTGCATCAGATATTTTAAAACTATTACAGCAATACTCTTTAAAGTTGAGCATTTTCAAACGGATCAATGGGGATTGCAGCCAAGACTAACGCTTCGACAGGTGTGAAGCATTCATACATACATTTCGGGATGAGTACACGATATTCCTGTCGAAGTAGATCGGTTAGTTAGGGCAGCCCTCAGGTGGAACACATTTTAAACAAACACTCATTGGTTGAGCATCTAGCAAACAGAGCAAAGTTTCCCCATGGTTTCGGGGGCGGATCGGGTGGGGTACTAGTAGGGCGAATGGACATTATATCTGCTGTGAATAAATACTTCCGCCTTAAAGAGTTTAACATTGTTGTTTATTTGCCCCTTTTCCCAAAGTTAGATGACAAGATGTGTAAACAGGACACGCTGTGTTTTTAAGTCTTGGGGTGGACACACTGCATTCAAACATGTGCACATCTCCGCTCACACCAGTGGTGCATGATAATGGACCTGATGGGGCGGAAGCACTGTGATGACCTCAGCCTGTAAAATGATGAAATCTGCAACTATTGATCCCACATAGAGGTAGAAAAAAAACGTACCTAGTTTGTACATGAAAACAGTATTTAAACTGTAAACCATTTGAAACTAAAGCCCTGTTTACAATTTCATGAGATGCAGCAAAAAAGGTTGGAAAACTACAAAGAGCAGAGTCAAATATCTGCAGCATCTAAAGTAATATAATCGAAGGGTGGTAGAGTTAGTGAACACATTAGGACTCTGCAGCTGTTTTAAAAGCTTTCAAAAAGTAATTGAGGACAAAGACTGACATATTAAGAGTAAAGAGTTTATTCGTTAATGAACATGTCCTGTTGAGTGGGGTCTAACAAACACCGCACCGTGGATGCCTAGTGGACAAAAAGTTGGAGTTGGCTAATAAGTAATGTTTTATGCAGATGCTTGACGTCATTTTACCCCATGCAAGGACACTAGAGACTAACTACAGCAAGCACAAGCCTGTGTTAACTCTTAGAGACTAACTACAACCTTGCAGATCCCTCAGTATTGCAGAGCAGCGGCTCTAATGGAGCATATACACAAGCCAATAGTTTGTTTGACAAACAAATTACCAAGCAAAAAACAGATCAACAGAAAAGCTCAGATGAAAATGTAATAAGCCTTCAATTCTGCTTTTTAAATGATTCATACTAATGTCAGGTTTAACGACATTCCACCACATACACAAAGATGTTTTTTTTCATCATCTAGCTATTGATGACACTTGTTTAATGACGGCGGTTGTACTCCGTATGATACCGCACATTATTGTATTCAACATTCCCTCACCCCAAAACTAACTCTAAGGCCAAGGCTGCTTGAATGAGACCAAGGAGAACAAGGTAAGCTGATGACGGAGAGCAGGGGGTGGAGGAGGCACCCACCCAGGGACGGAGGAGGAAGGCAGGAGGCCAGTCAATATGGTGGCACATTACATAATTCTCTCACTGTATTGATTTATCACCTAGCAGATTTGGCCCCAGGCCAGTATGCAATAGCATTTGTAATATTTGAGCTGGAGCCCCGACAGAGAGAGAGAGAGAGAGAGACATGGGCAGGTGGATGGCTCAGAGACGACAGAGCAAAAGAGGTGGGGGGAGCAGGGAGAATTTTGGGATGGAGCCAAAGTAATACAGATAAAGAGGAGAGTGGACTGAAAAGAGATGGGCGGAAACAAAGGTGTTTAATTGAGCGAGATGGAAATAGTTGAGATTTGCGAGAGAGAAAACAAGTGCGAGCGGGGATGAAGAGACGGTGACGGAAGAGGAAAGGCGGAACACAAAGAAGGTATGTCAGTGGGTTCACCGCAGGTCACCCTCCGTGCTGGAATCAGTACCGTTACATAAGAGCCAGCAGCACTGGGCAGAACAGCCTGACACACCGGACCTGCCTGCACACAGACACAAAGCGTCTCTTAAAACACCAGAGCAGAAAGTGCCTGTGGCCGTGCATGCTGGATATAAACTTCAGCAGCACTCACAGGTTGCGCTGGAAATACATTCACACCAGCGGGCTCCATCGCTCTGTCATCGGCGACCTGACTAATGGCTGCAAATTTCGAGCAGCCATTGGTCAGGTGGTTAAGCTGTATTTTTTTTTCAATCTTTACCCAAATATTCCAAACATATAAATGAGTGCAACAGCAGGAAGGCCTTCAAAGAAAGTTAAAGTGTGTGCCATTTTCCACAGATCTTCTTTCCTCATTAGCTGACTGAGGTATGGACGCGGTCGATTACACCGTTCACTGGTGTAATCCTTCTCCCCCTTCATGCAGGAGCACCAGGCCCCCCCATACTTCTTCTTCCCCCCCTACTTGTTGTGACATCACTCTCTCAATCTCAGGATGAACTACAGACAGATGAGGGGAAGGAAGCGGCGATAAAGGCAGGAAACTAGATTAATGGTCTGAATGGAGCACAGAGAGGGAGAGGGAAGCGGGAGAAGATGGAGGAGAGAATAAGCAGAGCAAGCGAGAGAGAGCGAGGCTGACTGGAACAGGCTTTCCTTGTGCTGCTGTGAATTATTTACTTCATTCCGCATGCTATCGCTCTCTTTTAAAAAGATATATGCAAGATATATTCATGGAAGGGGAGGGAGCTGATTAATTTGCAATTAATGTTTAACGAGGTACAGCTGTGTTCAATTAACACTGGTTTAGCGCCCCCCCCCTCCTCCCGCTGTTGATTCCACTTCTCAAGTGTTACTCGAGAGAGTAAAGCGATTAATACACTAGAATTAAGACGATGATGGAAGCTTATTTGATCAATTCCTTCAGAAAGTTTGCCGCACGATGCCGCACACAATAGAGGCAACATGTCGGCCGAAACAGAGGACATTCCTTATGACGCTTTACAAATGCAGACATTTCATTAGTGCCAAGCACGAGCCGGAGTGAAGGTTGTGATGTGCGATGGATTCGGCAGAGATTGCTTGTGAACCCAGAGACATTTAGATTCAACATCATGCATTCACCCCCCCCCCAAGCAAAGATCCACAGGACCCGAAAGTTTGATGCCTCTTTTCTCTCCCCCGCTCATCCTGCTTTTTCTTAATTCTACTGTATCTCTTTTTTTTCTAGCGGTTTATCTGAATCATCTCCTCCTTGGAGCTCCTCCCTCCCTCCCTCCCCTCCTGTGCTGGTCTCTCTCTCTCCAGGACATCATCGGGTGTCAATTTGGATTCTGTGCACTGTGCGTGTACACTGCCTGACCTGATAGTTATACACTAAACACACCCACATCAACCAAATGGGATTATTTGGTATGTAAATAGGATGGTGCGGGGGAATGAGGAAACAGACAGCAACAAGTGATGCAAAATACTGTATCAGTCTTGTAGAGTGATAGTGTGTGTGTGTGTGTGTGTGTGGTTCTGCTGTTGTGTCTGTATAGTCGTAGGTACACATTTTTGCTTTCATCACAAACTTATACTTCCACCCATCTGTTCACAAAGGAGAAAGGGAGAAGAGGCGGGCACATGCAGTCGGCCATCACCCTTTATATCTGCTCCTCCTCTTCCTCTGCTCTCTTTGTCCTGTACCTCTCTCCCCATCGCCTCCTCCTCCTCCTCCTCTCCCTCCTCCAGCCCGTTTCTGCCCTCCTCTTCTCCTCCTTTCATCTTCAGATAGAGGCAGATTGGAGCTCAGCTTCCTCTTAAGGCCCAGCAGGTGTGTGGTGTGTCTAATTGCACATGAGTGTGTGTGAGTGTGCTAAATGTGCTTTAAAGTCCTGCACATAAGAGCTTTTTTCCCTCTGAAGTCACATCGTGCCTGCGTTTGTAACTACAGTATGTTTGTTAGCTGTGTGTGTTTGTATGTGTGTATTGGAGATATCTTGTTTCCTCGAGGGAGTCCAGGCCCATTTCCACTGTCTGCTGTAGCCAACCAACCCTGCAGTGCATCGATAATCTATTAGGCTAGAAACACACACACACACACACACACACACACACACACACCCACACACACACACACACACACACACATTCCTCTTACCTGCCCCTGCTGAGCATTCTCGGTGTGTACTGCCTGTTACTGGGTGGGCCAGATATTGCCTGAAAAGCAAGCATACCACAAATAGAAGAATGAATACACACATGTATCAGAGGCCTTGGCTAATCTATATTGAAGGGAGTACAATGCTTAAGAAGTAGACAAACAGCCAGACACTTCTATTGCATCACATCCCTGTTGTGCAGACCTGCATGTTCAATGCAGCGAGCAAGAGGTTGTTGAAAATTTCACCATAAACCCATGCGCACAAAAACAGTCTTTGGTGAAAGCTTTTCACAAGAGATTGTGACCTTGCTGCTGTGACGACGACATTAGACAACTCTTTCTTTATGTACTTTGTAAACAGGATCACACAAACTACAGCAATTCATTTAATGTACTTTCTGCCACATATCTAAAAAAATGATGAAGCAAAATCATTCTAACGTCCAAATCAGAACGAGTATGTGTTGATTGTGTCTTAAATGTCATGTACCATGAATGCAAAAAGCTTGCAGTGAAACATTCAAAGACACTCAGGTAATTGGAACACTTTTATTAAATGAGTGCGCTTGAATGACACGTATCACACGTCTACAAAAACACGTGAGTACATATCAATCAATCATAGAGACAACAGCAGAAGCTATGTAGAAGCACTATCTGATGTAAACCCCTTGTGCATATGAAAACAGACACTCTTGACCAACCATGCAGTGGCAGTTATTACATACCACATTGAACAAACACTCATCATATCCTTAGACATTCAGAGGCCCCCCCACACATACACAAACGACTCACAAATGCACACGCAAACAACACGCCACAGAGCCAGACAAAACACATAAACAACATACCAGCATGATGTAAGAAGGCGCAGTATCAAATACCACTGGAATTAAAGCTAAAGCCTGTTTATCGACCGGTTAAGTGGGAAAGGCAGAGCTAAGCCCCAAAGATGCAGCTTGTTTACAATAACACAGCCACGCACGGATAGTGTAACCGCAGCTGAGATACCCTGCTGCTGCCAAACTGTCTATTTGTAGCCACGTTGAACACCACCAGGTTATTTGTGCCATATACAGGGGCTCAAGTCAACAGGGATTGTGGAAATTAGTTTAAATACCATATGAAATTGTGTTTTGTTTTTTTTTGTTTACAAAAATATACTGTATTTAAAAAATATATCAGAATTTACAAAGTTATTACGGAGGTTCATTACAACAGGACAGCCAGGATCTTACACTGTCAAAAAGATTTGTGCGGTATGTTTAGGATGAGCGGCTCCTAAAACTTTTATTTCTTCTTTAGTTAATTTTACCTTATATGCTAACTGAAATCGGTAGTGCTGTCACAAATTCAAACAATCAAACCCAAGCAATCATTTCAGGTAAATCCTTAAGTATTCCATCATCTACCATTTTCCTCTTTGGATAATCCCTGGATTCCTGCCTTTGAGAATTCCTCCACAGATTACCGCTTAAACCACCCCAGGGCCAAGGAGAGTTAGGGGGAGGGAAAGGAGGAGGGGAAGGAGGCGGGTAAGGAGGAGGATGGGGATGGTTTGGGGAAGAGTCTTGTTTTAAGAAGTTGGAAGTCTATGAGGTGCACTTCCCCCTTCAGACACGTTTTGTGCATATCAAGGAATGCACTCGCTGCGTCTCGCTGGTGTAACCCTCTATCTCCCTCCCTTCTCTTTTCTTTCTCCTTTAGGGAACAGAGGCATGAAGGTAGACAGCTGGGATAACTGACAACAGCTCCCGTGATCTGCCTGACAACAGCCCAAGGGCCCACACATACCCGCGCATACGGACCCGCACACAACCGTGCAATCAGAACAGAGAGGACCAAAGAGGGGCCCCGGGACGGAGCCTTGAGGCACTCCAACCTGATGACACAGCAGCAGCGGCTCCCCTCCAGGACCCCTGTTGCTCAGCTTACCTAACCACCAGTTGGACACCTCTCCTGTTTGCTATCCGCCTTTGTGCGACAGAAAACAATCACTAGCCCCCACGCTCTAATTTACAGGGGAGTTGGCTCATTTCTCTAAGTGGAATGTACAGTCGGAGCAGCTTGCATTTCATGACGGGATGGAGAAATTCATGATGAGGGGGGAGGCTATCCGGCTGGAGTGGGGCTCATTGAGGGCAGGGTGAGTGAGTTTGGCCACTATTTTTGGATGACATGTCATTTAAAACTGGTGTTTTTTTCCTATGCTGTGCTTAAGGAATGAAACAGTAGTGATGAATACACTTACATGCACTGATATCTGTAGGACCAAGTTCAGAAATTCATCATCAGCAGCAAAACCTGCTATCAAGGCTGCACCCCTTCCCAAAGAACAAAGAGAAATCCACCTTCAGACAACAGGTAATGTAAACACAGCACAATAAAAGGAATAAAAAAACAGAATGAACAGCAAATATAAATCCTCCATAAACAGAACACATAATGGAAGATATCGAGCCTTTCTGAAATGCAAACACAAGCATATGCAAACAGTCACACAATGGTTCTGTCTCCAAACCACGCCCACTCAATCCCGTCACCTTGGTTAACCTGCAGTAAAGTGCAACAGCCGACAGAACAGCGTGAAGAAGCTCAAGGAGATAAAATGTAGTTCTATTTCTGCTCGCCTCAGTGAGCGAGTGCAGCGTTTGAAGTGAAAGGGAGTGAAAGAGTGAGAGAAAGATGGAGAACATATGGTGTACGGAGACCTAGTTTCCTTCCCCTCATCTCCTCAGTTTCCCCATATCTCACACACCTGGGTCCTTAACTGCTCATGGAATCAACACCCAACTAAAACTCAACTTTTTTTAATTAGTTCTCGCTTTTCCTTCACCATCCATATGTTCTCATCTCTCAGTCACCCTTTTTGCTTTGTCCCTGCTCGGTCCCTTCAGTCCCTTGTCGTCACAATGCCTCACCAACCTTGATTTGTTTTCCTCTCACTGACTTCATTCTTTACAGCCTTTCACCTACAATTTCTCATTTACAATTACTGTTTCGGGCTTTGCATAAAAAGTGAATGTGGAGCTCTCACAATTTCCACATCTATTTCCTGTTTGTCTGGGTGTGGTTTTGAGTCTCTGAGGGAAATAAGATTGAGGAAGAGGGACTGTTCCCACATTTTACTGCTCAAGTAGTCAAAGATAAAATGACAGCAGGCACAATATACTGCAGGCAAATTCCCCCGTGTATGAGGGGGCATGAGAGGGAGACAGAGTGCTAGACATGACAGAGAGCAGGACAAGATGCAAGCAAATCCCAATAGCGAGACAAAAATACACCGGATGTAATTTCAGCAATCCAAACAACGGTCTGCACAGAGCATGAGCAATCACAACTTGTCAAGTGCTCACAAACATCCCTTGAAGGCTTTTTCAAAGAGTTTCCCTCCTGCACATAGTGAGACAACTTTGTTTCCTCTATAACTATAGACAGGCTACTTGTGTACACATTTGATCTTCCACTGGATAACAAACGATAACTTAAGTGTACTTAAGAATTGGGACATCGATCTCCATCGGCCTTATTCTGTGTACCGTATTTTCCGCACTATAAGGCGCACTTAAAAGCCTTTAATTTTCTCAAAAAACGATTGCGTTTTATAATCCGGAGCGCCTTATATATGGATCACTGGTTGTACACGGCGCTCAAGGCGCTGTCAAAATGTTTCAGTATGAAAAACCCATAATAATAAATATGCTTCGGTACGACTGGTAAACTGGTCGTATTTGGAGGATAATTATCGAGTATCTGGCAACATTGAGATCAGTCGACCAATGACTGTTCTCTCTACAGTCAGAGCTCGCGCAAGAAGGTGGAACGTAAGGGAGACACCATTTCCAACACTCAAGGGCGGAATAACTAGTTTGTGAAAGACCCAGAGAAACACAAATATCCCACGAAGCAAAATCCCGGACGTTTTTGGAATCCCTGCCGGACGCATTTTTTAGGTCTCAAAAAGAGGATATGTCCGGGGAAAAGAGGATGTCTGGTCACCCTAGCATAACGCAAACCCAGGTAAAACGTTTGACTGCAGTATTTTATGCGTCTTATAATCCGGTGCACCCTATGTATGAAAAATGTTCTAAAATAGGTCATTCATTGAAGGTGCGCCGTATAGTGCGGAAAATACGGTAGTACTGTAAGGTTGCCTGGGTGAGGTTTGCGTAAAAAAAGGGAAAAATCAACTACATCGACTGAGTGAAAGTGCATGTATGAAAGTAGCTGTGGACTTGGCTGTCTGCTCGGCTTTGATGTCTCCAGTCCTGACAACAAAAGAGACACGTTACTATATTTGTGTGTGTTTGTGTCAAAAAACAGGGTATGAAGAAAATTAGTGCTTATTTAAATCAGTGACCTCAAACCTGTGAACCCACATCAAAAGTTGTGTACTGGCTATACGTTAGATGTGGTACCCTTTCTTTATAAATAAAAAAGAAACACATATGTTTATGAATACCTGCTAAGTTCCATCAAAATAAAAAAGGGTAATTACAAGACACTGTAGGAGGAAAGCCCCACATTTCATTTCCATGTAAGCCATACATCCATCCAGGGTGAAAGAATTCAACCTGCTCAGCCCAAAGTTCCCTGTTTAGGACTCCTGACCAGACAACCGAGCCAGAACCGAGCTCTGTACTCATCATGAACAAATATAACACCCAGATAAACATTAGAGCAGGGGTGCTCAATACATCGATCGCGATCAACCAGTCGATCTCAAAGGCAGTACCAGTCGATCGCGTGCCATCGCTAAAAAAATGACGTCACGTCCCACATGCACGGTCTACCGCGGGAGATGACCGAAACTAATGGTAATGGGGTTAAGCAATTCTTGCTTACTAACGGACGGATTTAATTTCCTTCCAAAGCAACCCAGGCTGACTCCCGTAAGGTAATGACCAAGAATGTGCGCTCGTTGTTTTCTTCATATCGACTCCTTATGACTATTTACCGGTCCCCCCCGTCAGCCGGCATCGCCATGACCTGGTTTGTTGAAAAGTAGCTCGCGAGCTGTAAAAGTGTGGGATCCCCTGCATTAGTTTCGCCT